TGGCCCAGTGGTGAGAATCTTTGTTTTCTTGATATTGAGCTTCAATCCGTATTGAAGACTGCAGTCCTTAACCTTCTGCAGCAAGTGCTTCAGGTCCTCCTCAGTTTCAGTGAGCAGGGTTACACGTAATTAATGAGTAATGCCACTTTCCTCTTCACAGTCCAGCTTCCCTAATTATTTGCTCATCATACAGAAAATCAAAAGACAAATTACACTGGGAAAGTCTACTGTTAGGGACCTCTGTAGAATACTAAAGAGCAAATATCAGTCTGGAAACTAAGGTGCACCTGATCCAGGCCATGGTCTTCACAGCTACTTGCTATACACCAGAGAGCTGCACGTCAACTAAGGATAATAGAAGGATTGATGCCTATGAGTTTTGGTGCTGGAGAAGAATGTTGAGCATATCATGACTGCTCAGAAGTGTTTGTTCTTTTTTTATTTTTTTATTTTAATTTATTTTATTATTTTGTGTGTGTACCATCAAATCGGATCTGACTGGTACATGAGGAGATTGCCCCTCCTTCTCCAGCAGAGCATCTAGTAGATTTGAACCGCATACCTCTGGGATTGCAGTGCAGCTTCTTGCTACTAGGCCAAAAGTGTTTGTTCTTTTGTGTAGCTTGAACTTCTTTCTTCAGTACTGTAGGTTCTTGATCATATACTATTTCTTGAAATGGTTGAATGTTACCTGTTTCTTTTGGTACAGTACCTCTGTGTGTTCCTTCCATCTTCTTTTGATAATTCCTGCCTCATTCAATGTTTTGTCCACTGACTCCTTTTGTATTGCAACTCAAGGCTTGAGTTTGTTCTTCAGTTATTTCAGCTTGATAAATGCTGAGTGTATCGTTCCCTTTTAGTTTTCAACTCCAGCTCTCTGAACACTTCCTTATAATTCTGTGTCTTCTCCAGTGGCCCTTTGAAATATTTTGTTCAACTTCGACATTTCTTCCCTTTGTTTTGGCCTCTTTTCGTTCCTGTGCAAAATTCAGTCCTTTCTCACATCCATTATGGTCTCTTCTTTCTTCCCTGTCTTTTTAGGGCCTGTTGTTGTTGTTGTTAGATGCTACTGAATCAACTATCACTCCTAACAACCCTATGAACAGAAGATCTGAATCTTGCTTTACCTTTAAAAGTATACACTTATAAGTTGTGCTGCATAGTTATGTTGTTACATATTTAAGTTGTCTTGAATCTCTCTGTCGATGAAGAAGTCAGGTGGAAGAAGAGTATTTTAAAAGTGTCAAGTGGGAAATTTGGACGTTCTTCCAAATTTAAACCTGGGATCATAGAAACAAATACTCTGAGTCTTCATGTTTCTGAATGACTCTGTGATATAAAAATAGAGATTGAGAGTACCAAAGTTTGTTCACCTGAGTTATGATTGTCTTAAAGTGTGTCACACGTTGACTTTTAAACCTCATTTGCATCCTTAAGTAAAATAGTTGTTTAAAAAAAAACCACATAAAACTCTAGTGTGTAGCCAATGTGGGGTCACAGTCACTTGAGGGGTTTGCTGCTCATCACATCCTGGTCACTGCCATAGTATCTGACTTGCAGGAAACCACCATTCTCTGTGCACAACTTCCCTTGATACAGCCCTTGTTATTCCTAAGCACTTTTGAACATCATGACTTCCCATGACGGCCTTGGGAAGTAAGCCATTTGGGAATCGTAACCCATTTTACAACCGAGAACCTAGGCACAGAAAATCAAATGACTTTTCAAGGACACTGAGGAAACTGGTGGCAGAACCAGGATGAAAACCAGCCCCTGGGCTCTCATCCTGTGGACCTCAGAGTTCCACTCTATAAAATGGATTTCTACCTTATCAGCATTGTGGGTTGTTTCTAGACCAAATGGGACAGCTTTTCTAGGAAACACTAATTTTTTTCTTTCATTCAGAAAATGCTGTGCCTGGTTCTCCTGAAGGCAGCCTGCAGTGAGTTGAATGTTCCTCACGTCACTCTTCTAGAAAACATCCACTTCACATGGTGGTACCCAGAACAGTCATCTTTCAAGTGGCCAAAGAAGCCAACCTGGCACCCAGCCTCAGTGACTGTCCTTTCTTTGCCCCAGCTACAGTGAACAGAGTGCCCTTCACTGCATAGTCCCACACAGAATCAAGTAGCCAAAAATCACCATCGTCTAGACAAACAGGTTTTATGGGTCCAATTAATTCCTGCCAGTCAAAAATAGGCACACTTAATAAAGGGATATATTTAGAATCTGTCATTATCTGGCTCCCCTGGGGAGAAACCCCAGCTCTTGTTTCATAGACTCTTAATTTCAAACAGAACTCTATTAACTCCCACTTTAGGCCTAGCTTTCCCTCTGGACAGCCCTGAGAGGGAGTGGAGGCGGGGGCAGGGGAATTATGTGACCACAAGAAGCCACTTAAGTCCTTCATAGCCTGAACCCTTCAGTCCTGTCTCCTTGAAAACCACCTTACCGAGGAAAATGAATGCTTGCTTCATGTTGCCGAGGAGTTGGAAGCTACTGGAAGATCCAGATTCAAAGGGCTCCCTCCAGAAAGGTCTCTTGGCATCCAAATGACTCACCTGTCCCTGTGCTCCACATTCCACCACATCTATTCTTTGCCTGCCAGTTTGGATAAAGATTTCTGGAAGACTGAGAGCTGTTATAAGCCTCACTGTCCTGGAAAGAGTTATGGTGCTTGCATCACTGTTCACCAGTAAGTCACCATCAGATATTAGAGGTTAAGCAGAGGGAAGAGGTTTTTGGCTAAGAGCTGGACTGACCCCCTAAGCTTAGAAGGATCTAGACATGCCAGAGGTGCATAACACTGACCAAGTGGCCAGGCAGGCAGTGAAAAGAAATATAGGCAGCTTCAGAGATAAGAAATTTGCTTCCATGTTTTGTAATGTTTTATGAGTTCATTGTTTTTCAGTGCTGTGTAGTATTCCATTACATGAATATACCATAGATTTTCTATCCATTTGTTTGTTGCTCAGCACTTGGGTTGCTTCTATCCTTTGCTATTGTAAATAATGCAGCAGTAAACATGGGTGTCCATCACTCTGTTTGAATGATGGTTCTGGTTTCTTTAGGGTACAACAATGAATGAATATTTTTTTCAAAAGTGAAGTAGGGGAGGGGGAAGGAAGAGAAGGGTAAATTGTGCAACAATGAATGAATAAAAATCTAACTTTTCTGTAAACTTTTGTTAAAATCACAGTTAAAATTTAAAAATTTCTTTAAAAAGAAATTCGCTTCCTGTCAGCACTGGGATTTCTGTTACTCACTTGGCTTACTCTAGGCCTCCCTGTTGATGCTGCCCCCTGGTGGGCAGGACATGAGGCCTAGAGTAGGGCATTAAGGGCACTCCTGGACTGAGGTAACTGTCTTCCTGTCCTCAAAGGGACATATGTCTACAGAATGTGTTCCAGGGGTCCCGGGATTTCTAGGGCTTTCCTTCGAGGGCATCATTAGAGCATAGCTGTGTCAGGAAGAAGAGGCTATCTGAGAGAACCCCAGGGCTATGGCCTTAGGAAGCCTTTGAGCCTGGAACCTCTGTGGCTCAGCCTTTAGTTAAATAACAGGCAGCCATTTAAAGGGAATAAGAGCACCAGGGAGGTGCTCACTTCTCAGAACAAATCAGTCATCAAAGATCAAATTGATAGCACGGGATAAAAACTCAGAAGGCAGGAAAGGGAAGGAAAATGAGAACAAGCATCCCAGAGAGGAAGTGTGAAAAATGCTACCACAACACAAGGTGTGTAATCAGTGTCATTAAATCCAAATGTCTCAGACGATTAAATGAAAACCAATTTTCTCTGTAAATGTCCTCTCACAGCACAATTTTTTTTATTTAAAAAAAGAAATTATTGCTGCATTTTCCCTAAAAATACATGACAGCAAGCAGAATGTATTCATTCCCTAGGGTTGTCATAACAAATTGCCACACCTGGCTAGTGCACAACCACATAAATTTAATCTGTCACAGTTCTGGAATCCCAAAGTCTAAAATTGAGGTGTCCCTAGGATCATGTGCCTTTGGATGGCTATAGAGAAGAACCCTTAGGTCCACTCCACTTGCATGTTCCAGCTTTTTGTGACTTCTAGTGCCTTGATTTTTATGGCTGTATATCTCCAGACTTTACCTCTGTCTTCATGTAGCCATTGCCTCTGTCTTCTTTGTGTATTTTTCGTAAAGACACTTGCCTCTGCATTTAGGATTGCCTGCATAATCCAAAATGATCCCCTCATCTCAAGATTCTTAATTGAATCTGCAAAAACCTTTATTTTCGCCAAAAATAAGGTCACATTGATGGGTTCCATGGATTAGCATAAAGGCATATCATTTGGGAGTCAACCAATCAGCCACTACTCAAGGACTGGACCTAAGACAGACAACTCAGCACGTGGCTGCCCCTGACCCCTCCTGAACAAATACTTAGTAGCTCCACAGGTAACCATGACCACAGAACAACTGTACTCCTAGACAATGGCAAAGGATGGGGAGGAGGTGGTCACCAACTGAGAAACTATCGTGTGTAAGTGAAGAAATATATGAAATCTGAGGCTTATGCAACAAGGTATGACAGATGACCAAGACCCTCCACCTCCAAAAACATCACTTCTCTGCTTGAACAACCACTATCACTGCCCTCTCTATTCATTCCCTTGATAAATTCATATTCATCAAGATTCAACTCACACATCACCTCCTACATGATGCCTCCCCAGACTGAGGGCTTCCCTTTCCACTACCAGGGACTTCTTCTATCCCCTGTGTTGAGAGGTTTATGTGGTTTTCACCTGTCTTCAGACCTTGGAAAAGGTCACAGGTCCATTACTGTTCCCTGAAAGTCTGATGTGCCCCCTCAGGAAGCCAAAGCTCCAAGCCTGAGACTGAGGCCACCTTTCCAGATTCTCTCCCCACCCTAATCTTCCTTCAACGCTGTGATCAGCTTTTAGCCTTTGACAGAAAAGAGGCCCTTCTCTGGCATCTTAACTTGTCTTCACTTTCTCCCCAGGCTGGTTGTGGGCGCCCCATTGGAAACCAATGGTCATCAGAAGACAGGAGATGTGTACAAGTGTCCAGTGATCCAAGGGAACTGCACCAAGCTCAACCTAGGTAACTCACACGGGGTTGCTGGCCTCCTCACAGCTTGGCCAGCCTTGTCTAACACACCTCCATGCCAGTGATCATGTGGGCTCCTCACAGCTTCCCCTTGAGATGACCCAGGTGGTACTGCTCCCATTTTACAGATGCGGAAGCTGAGGCCAGATAGGTGAAAGCATCTTTCTCATAGTTACAGCTTGTCAGTGGCTTAGTTAGGATTCCAAGCTGGGCCTCTGGAGCCCCAGCCTATCTCTACTCTTGGTTTTTCCACTGCTCTTCAACTCAGGTTTTCTCTCCTAGCAGGAGAAAAGCATGCCCTGTCTTCTTTCTGCTGTTGAAATGATAACGTTATCAGGTAACATCCATATGTTTTACAAGATATTCGGTATATGCTAAACACTGTTTTGGACCCTTGTAGATATTTTGACTCCTATACTCGCTATATCAACCATGTGAAATTTAACCACTTAGCAGAGGAGGAATAAAGGTATATGGGTGAGGTGTCCCACTCAGGATCGTCCAGCTAATACGAAGCCAGGTTGGATTCCAGTCTAGGCCATCTATGTGTGAACCATTTCACAGTAATGCCTTCTGAAATGAAGGGCTTTTTAAAAATATAAGAAGAAGGCTGATTGACTAGAGCGAGAGGAGTTGAAAATGCATCTTTATTTAGGTCCTTGGTATTTTCCAAAGCAAACATGGTGCCCAAAAGATACATTTTATTGTTACATCTAGAGATGAAAAGTAGGGAGCGTGAACAGGACTCTGATGCCCAATACAGGGACTAGTCAACCCTTAACGACTAGTAGAACTCAAAGCATGTTGAAGTTACCCATCAGTACTTTATTTCCTTCCAGTCATCAGTGTTTTGTGTTCACATCCCGAGAAACTAGAACTGTGAGTCAAGTTCAATGAAAATGTCATGCTAACAGAAATTTCCAAAAAAATTATCTAGTGTGGCTGTGGTAATAACCAGAGACATCACAGTGGACTCCTCTTTTGTGAAGACTGGTCTGGGAATCAGTGCAGAAACAGAAGCAGGGCTGGAGTTCATCTCAACAGTGAAATTCTCTCAGTACCCATTCTTGGTTTGCATGCAGACGGACAAGGACGAAGCTCCATACAGGCAATTTGAGACAAAGTATGAACGGCTGTCCACAGGCAAAGGTTATGTCTCTAGGAAAGGAAAAGAAAAGCTAATAGCGGGATCTGAATTCCCACTCCATCAAGAGAACTCTGATATGTGTAAGGTGGTATTTCCCCCAGAACCAGAAAATAATTCCAATGGCTGGTTTTGAACCTGATTGGTGATGTTTTGTTTGCATCTGTCTCCCTGGAAGGAATGCCAAGTGACACATCTAAGAACTAGCTCTGTGAGAGCACAGTGTTTACATATTTACTGTATTTAAGATTTTTATAAAAGCCTATAAAAAATCTCAAATGATGAAATTTGGGCCTATTCAGTATACTAGGTAGAGCACCATTTGAGTCAACACAAGTGACTCCAGCAACACTGATAGTTTTCTTGTGCCAATCTCAAACCCCATTTGGCACAGCAAGAATAGATTTAATCAAATAATAAAATTTTATTTGTTCAAAAAGAAATAATAAAAAAATCCCCACTCATGTAAAGCCAATTTTGAGTCAACAGTTTTCAACATGTATGTGAATACCTTTTTTAACTAAATGTTAAATGTGACTTGTTTTTTACTAAACATGTTGACTGACGAGCAAAATAAAACAATACAGGCTAAAAAAAAATAAGAAGAAGGACTTTCTGGAATATTTTGGAGCAGGAAGAAGGGGAGATGCTGTGAGCAGCTTCAAGGCCTTGCAGGCATTGAAAATCAACTCAGGCATGCGCACAAATGTCCACTGAAGCACTTACAGTGTGACCCACTCAAGCACTTCTTTCTTCCTAAAGATCAGACAGCACTTGGGCAATTCGCTGCTCTCAAAAGTGGGAACAGAAGTTCCATATGGGCTGAGAAGCCATAATTCCTACAAGGCTGTAGTTCTCCAGGACAGGGGCCCTCCTCCTCTTAGAACAGAGAACCCTGCCTGGTACTGCTGGGGCTGGCAGGGCTCCCTGGGGAGGGGAGGTGGGCAAGACTAGAACAAAGCCACTCTGCAGGGGGGTGTGGGGGCGGGGGAGGGAATGGCAAGGCTTCAAGAGATAAGCCCCACTTGTCTGGGATGAAAAGACCAGCATCAAAGAGAAAGTCCCAAGAGCTGCCAGATCCCCAGGACGGCCAGCTGCACTGTCACATGGTGTTGAATACTCCCGCTGTCCACATCTGCATCAGCACTGTGGGTGGGAAGTTCAAACCCAGCCCAACAGGGTCCAGACCTTAGTGAGGAAAACGTCTAAAGGAAGTAGTGAGCCTAGTTTAAAGGCTCATGATTCCCAGTCAACATTGGCCTGAGAGCTCAGGCTTCTCTTTCTAGCTGTTCCATTTCTTTGCCATACATCCATGAAGGGCTCACATTCTCTCTCCAAGCCTTCAAGAAAAAAAGATATGGCAGTCTGTTCATATAAAATATTAGCAGCCAGGGAAATGAATAGTTGCACTCTATCTTATAGGATTTCTAGGATGGGGATCCACTTTCCGACAGTGGGTGCTCTGAGCTTCAGATTTCTGATGTATAGAGTGAGAAGGTGGATTCTGTGACCCTCTGGCATCTATATCAGGCTACTCTGTTCACCAAGAGGGAACACTATGTCTTAGTCTATAGTATGTTGCACTGCTAAGTCAAAGGCTGTGCATCTCGGGTGGTTCAAATCCACCAGCAGCTCCAGGGAGAAAAATGGACCATCTCCACCCACTGCAGTTTGCAGCCTCAGATATTGAATAGAGGGTAAGCTATGAGTTAGAACCGGCTCAACAGCATTGGGCTTGTGTTTTAACCTTTAATGGGAAAGTATTACATGCTGATGGATCACAGTGATCTGATCGCGTTGATCGCAGAGTCCCCATGAATCATGGGCCAACTCAGCAGCGGCTCACAGCAGCAGCCTATGTGCCAAGCACAGCGCCAGCTGCTGGGGCCTCTGCAGGGAGCAAAGAAGCCAAGTGCTCTGCTAGGAGGAGACAAACAAGAAAGCTGGATCATTTCAGATCAGGATGCATTTGTGCAATAAACCAGTGAACAGGTGGTGGAGGAGGTACAGGACAGGAGTCTTCCTCAGCACGGTGGTCAGGGAAGACTGTCTAAGTAGATAACATTTGAACAAAGACTCATTGGTGAAAAAGAGTCAGCTAGAGTAGAGACTTCAGACAGTTGTTGTTGTTGTTATATAACCTCAAGTCAGAACTGATTCACAGCTGATCTTCCAGTGGGTTTTCAGAGGCAGTAAATCCCATGAGAACTGAATTGAGTTGTCCATCTTTCTCCCAGGCAGAAGCTGAGGATTTGAACCACATGCCTTTGATTTGGCAGTGCAATTTCTTACCACTGGACCACCACATCTTTCCCTTATGGAGGAGCAAATGGGTTTGAACCACTGACCTTTTCAGTTAGCAGCCAAGCACTTTACCACTGCACCACCAAGTTTCCTGTGTGAAGATGGAGGCCTTGGACACCCTGCAGGGCAGTTCTACTGTTATACAGGGTCACTGAGAATTGTAATCATCTCAACAGCACACAAAATCTTTTCCAGTGTGGCCTCAGAAAGGAGGAGGAGCTCCAGCTGCCAGTGAGGCACGAATCCATCAGCCCCTAGAAAACTTTCCTGAGCTGGGGCGAGGCAATGGACAGCTGAGGGAGCCAAGGTAGAGCTTTATTGGAGGAGAAAGTGCACAACAGTAGCCATCTGTCAGTTTATCCTCAGAGTGGAAAACACAAGGCTGGGAAATTGGAATCCTGGGTTTTCCTACAGGCTTTCCAGCCTCTGTGGCCCACTCTGCCAGGGGCATGCTTTCCTCTGCTCCTTCAGGGAAGGAAAGCTGTGTGTCAGTCATTCACTCTTCAGTATGAAGGAGTCCACACTGGCACTTTCTTCCACTTGGATGAAGTCACGGTTTTAATAAGGCAAAGGGGCTAGAAGGCAGCGGTGTGACTATGGAAGGGCTTGGTTCAGGTTCCTTCTTACCGCATCCTCTTCTCCTGGCCAGCAGAGGGTCACTAAGGACGTCAGACCCTGGGGAAAGGAGAGAAGGAATAGAGAAAGGTAGGGTGGAATGAGGATGTGCCCTTTAAATGGATGGAAGACAGATTCTCCAAGCTGTGAGAGGTGGAGATTGCCCAGTCAAGGCTCATAGCTTCCTCTCCACCCTCCCCACCACCACTGCAGCCCTGCCAGACAGAAAAAGCTCAAGAGAAAATGTCAGCTGGCCCAGGTTCAAGTCTGCGCTCCAGTATTTGCTAGTAATTGATCTGGTGGAAGTCATTAGCTCTCTTGGCACCTCGATTTTCTCATTTGCAAGGTGGAAATACTAACACCTAGGATTTGCAAGACCTGGAGGAGGGAGGTTATGAGAGGTCGTGTGGGGATCATGCTCTGACCAAGAAAGCACCCCAGAAATACCAGGGCTGTTACTATTGCTGCCATTCTTTCTCTCTGGCCTCGTTTGGACAGACAAAATAAAACAATCCTGTCCGCCATAGCACAGCCAAGAGACTGGATTTCAAAAGAAGCTTTACTAAAAACTGAGGGAAACCAAAAGGGGGGAGGAATTAACCAGGACACTTCCCCACTCCCCCAAACAGCCATGAGTGTGAAATCCTGACCTCTGTGGGGACCAGGGCTAATGCCTGCCCTGATGACCTTTGACCAGTCCAGGGAGCTAGGCCAGCTCTTCACAGACAAAGGCAAGGCAGTGCTGCCCGTTTGGCAGAGGCCTCCAGAGTTCTTTAGACATTCCTGCCCCCACCTCTCGCCAGTTGCCAAAGCAGGGAAGTTGACCAAGTGACTTCTCACAGCATCATGGGACTGACACACTGTAGGCCTTGATGCAACAGTTAAGCACTCCACTGCCAGTGGTTTAAACCCTCAAGCGCTTTGTGGGAGAAAAGCCCTGGTAATCTATTCCCATAAAGCTTACAGCCTGGGAAACCTGAGGGAGCTGGTGTTCTCTGTCACGTGGGGCCACGAGGAGCCAGAAGTCACTCAACAGCACTTAAAAAAGGACGAAAATGTCATTGCCATCGAGGCAACTCCTACTCACAGTGACCTATAGGACAGAATGTAACTGCCCCACAGCGCTCCCAAGACTCTCCATCTATGAATCTGCGTCTTTCTCCTGTGGATTCAAATAGCAGATTTCAGTTAGCAACCAAGTGCTTAAATACTGTACTACTGGGTCTCCTAACAACAGGCTTCACACAATGCCCAGCTTTCCTCTCAGCTTCCTCCCTTCTTTTCCCATGCACACGTGTGTGCACAGCCATACACACATGCGTACGCACTAACATACGGTCAGTGGCCTGGCAGAATGAAAACATGAAGCAGTGTCATCTTGCATATATGCGCTCTGGTGAAGGGAACTGTGCTGAGCTGATGGTTCAAATCCTCCAGTGGCTCCATGTGGGAAAGGCAGGTAATACCCACCTGTGCAATTTACAGCCTCTGAACATCACTGGAAAGTGAGCTATGGCTTTCTATTCAATGACAGTGAGATTTAATTTGATAGTGACTTAGATTTGGGTTGGTGATCTATTTGGTATTGAGGCTTAAGGGATGTTGGGAGTCAATCAAATGGCTAAAGAAGGAAAAGACCAGACCAAGAGATGGAAGATTCTGCCATGTGCAGAACAGCAGAATCGACCACCTATATCCTTGGACAGGCTGCTTGGCCTCTCTGAGTCTGCGTCCTCATATCCAGGGGAGTTGTGGGACTGAGCTTCGCAGATGTGCTGGAAAGGGGGATTCTGCCAGGCACCAGCCCAGTCACAGGCACCTCTGGGGCAGGAAGCACCAGCAGGCTCTGCACAGATGTGGACAGGCAGGGCCTACAAGCTGAGCTTCTCTTTCCACCCCAGGAAGGGTCACCCTGTCCAATGTGTCTGAGCGGAAGGACAACATGCGCCTCGGCCTGAGCCTCGCCACCAACCCCAAGGACAACAGCTTTCTGGTAAGAGCCACCACTCCGTGTGTCTGTCTGTCTGTCTCTCTCTCTCTCTCTCTCTCTCTGAGTCTCAGCTCCTTCCTGCTCCCACAGGCCTGCTGCCTGGGCTCTCCTTAACCACACTCCTGTGTACCCCATTCATGCAACACTCTCAGGGACTAGATCTCCAAGGTTACCTGTCCTTATACACTCCAGAAAGGAGCTTCCTGAGGGGGCAGTGCAGGCAGACCAAGGATTGTACCCTTTTGTGTGCTCACCCACCAGTGGTGGGAGTGGTCAGACAGCCTGAGAAGGAATGTAAGTAGTTACAAACATCAAGCACCTGACTGGTGGGTGGTTCAGTGGTAGATTCCTGCCTTCCATGTGGGAGATCCAGGTTTGATTCCCAGCCTGTGCACCTCACACACAACTACCATTCTTCCATAGTGGATACGTGCATGCTCCTATGATGCTGAACAGATTCAGCAGAGTTCCACACTAAAACAGAGTAAAAAGGTCTGGTGATCAGTATAAAAGGACAGATGGATAAAATCATACTTGGGTAGGAAGATGAGTGAATTGATTGATATAGAGAGATTGGATGAAAGATGATGGATAGTTGAATGAGGGGATGAGAAATATATGCATACATATGTAATACATACATACATACATAATTTCTTTATGTATAAAGAAATGAGAGGTTAGATGGTGGGTGGCTGGGTTTACCCTGTCTTTTCTGCCCGGTTGGGTATATCCAAGGTATTTTGCATTGTAGCAGAGAGCAGCTGAGGTAATTATTTAGCATAACTTGCACCTTTCCACCAAGTTTGAGGCAACTTCTACAGCATGAATTTGAAACAGGATCCATTTGGGACCAAGAGCTCTTAGAAATACTTGAGAAAGGATTTCAGAAAAAAACATCTTGGAAAACTCTGCACAAAGCAGAACTCTCTTTTTCTTTAACACACATTTTTATTGATTTATATATAAGCCTTTATAGATAATTGTTTTTCATGCCTGTGCATTGTATTTCATAGACTCTTTCATGTACATTGCTTTTAAGAGCTCAGTCCTGGTCCATCAGTCTTGACTGTTGGTAGCGTGGAAGATCTGACACGAGGCTGGTGAAATGAGCTGGTGCCCAGGGACTGAAGAGCATAATGGGCCTCTTCCAAAGCTTAGGAATTCCTGAGGGGCCTTGGTGTTGGCCATCCACTGACCGTCACTATCCCCAACCAAACGAAAGCAGGGTTCTTGGTCCTGTCCACGCATATTCCCTTCAGGGACTCCTTTTTCCCCTCTGAGGCTCCTGGACAACTTATTAGCCAGATTTCACCTACTTTACAGGTGGGATGAAGGCCTGATAAGGGTAGTGTGATAGGCCCTCTGGGACTTCTGTGGGTGTAAGTCACTGATTTATAAATAACTTCTACATGTACTCATTCATCCACTCACTCATCTGTCCAACCCCCACTACTTATTCTTCCACTCGTTGATTATCCCTTCTCCCATCTCTGTGTATTAATCCACCCAACTCATCCTGTCGTCCAGTCGTCCATGTTTCCATCCATCCATATAGCCATCTTTCCATCATCTATATCACCGTCTTCTCTCTCACCATCCTTCCACCCATTATTTGATCCTCCTATCTCTCTGTATATCAATCCACTCACTCATCCTCCCATCCAATCCTTGGTCTTTCTTCCTATTCTTTATTTTCCCTTTACTCCCAAAAAATAATTTGCATAGGCAGGACAAAAATAAAAGCATGGATCTGGACCTTTGTTTTAGATTCTGAGAGGAACTTAACATTCAATATTTTTTTTTAACATTCAATATTTAAATGAAGACTTAAATGAGATCATTGATTTGGGTAACACATATCACAGAAAGAGCAGTGGTGTTCTGTTTTCTTTCCCAGATAAGACCTTTGAGCATATTGTTGGCACCTAGTCCTGGAAGTTTGCCCCCGAATCTTCAGGTGACTTCTTAGGCTAGATGAGTGATTTTAGTTGTCCTGAAATGTCTACTCCATGGATGACAAGGCTTCCCCAATCCTGAGTGGTAGATGGGGTGGAGGAAGGGGAAGGTAACATGAAGATAAGTCATACCCTAAATTATGGGATGAAGAATAGGATCCTTGAAAAAAGAAATGAAAACATTAGTTTTGGGTTTTCGTTTTAATTCATCCTCAAAGGGAATTGGTACACATTGCAACAGGAAAGAGTTCAGTCAGATATAAGGGTGCTCTCTAAACCCTCAGGATGGCAAAGCTCAGATGGTGACCTCTGCCTTGGGTCATGAGTCTCCCTTGAAGCTCCGCTGACTGGGTCGGTGCTGTCCTTCACAGGCCTGCAGTCCCCTCTGGTCCCACGAATGTGGAAGCTCCTACTACACCACGGGGATGTGTTCCAGGGTCAACTCCAACTTCAGGTTCTCCAAGACCGTGGCCCCAGCTCTCCAGAGTAAGTGACTTCAAATTCATAGGCTCAGACTGGCGGCTGGCAGTTGGGGAAGCTCAGCATTTTCCCCACCACTGCTGGGGCCACAGAGCAGGACAAGCACTGGTGTTCTGACGAAACCCTGCCCAGCTGTCTGGGTGAACTGGCACAAATCACTTCACTTCTTTTTTTAAAGAAAAATTTTTTAAACTGTGACTTGAGTGAAAGTTTACAAAGCATATTGGTGGTTTGTTTGTTGGTCTGTATTTTTAAATCACTATTTCATGGACATTTTGCTCCATAACATCAACTACAATACACACAATGTTGATCATCCAATCATTCTGTGGTGTTTTCCATACACTCATTTCTGTTTGTTATCTATTAATTAATTTTATTCTCCCTTCATTTCCCCTTGGTAACCAACCTAGAATGATTCTCTTTGTATGTAAATCTTTTTTTAACTTTTTATGTTATTGTTGTTACTTGTCACTGAGTCAGAACTGACTGATAGCTAATCCTCTAGTAGATGTTCTTGAGCTCTGGTGTTCTCGTGAAAAGAAGCTGCACTGCAGTCCCAAAGGCATGCAGTTCAAGGACACCAGCTGCTCTGCGGGAGAATGATGGGCAGTCTCCTCCCATGCAATTAAAGCCCATCAGAGGGTCAGCTATGGGTCTGTTCTGACTCTACGGAACACAACAACAACAACAACAGAAGATGGTAAGAGGCAGTAAATCATATGGGAGGAGATTGCCTTCCCATGTGATTTACTGAGAATCCAACCACTTGCCTTTGGGTTTGCAGAACAAATCCTTACCCCCAAGACACAAGAGCATCCTTTTTTTTATAGCAGTGATCTTATACAGCATATATCCTTTTGTGACTGATTTCTTTCACTTTGTCTAATGTCTTGTACTCCATCATATTATGTAGTTTCACTACTTCACCATTCCTCATTGTTGCATAGTAGTCCATTGTATGAGAATGTACTATAGCTTCTCTACCAGTTCATTCATTGAAGTTAACTTGGGTTAAATGTCTCTATGCCTTTGTGTTGGTCATAATCTTGGTCTTCTCTTCCCTAAAAAGTGATGTTGTTGTTGTTGTTGTTATGTGCCATTGAGTTGCTTGCAACTCATAGTGACCCTATGTACAACAGCCCTATATCCTGCTCTATAATATTGTCTTATTGTCTCTCCAATCTAATTGTCTCTGACACACCTACCCTCATAACCCGAATCACTGAATCAATTTACCTCATCGAGGGTCTTCCTCTCTTTGACTGTCCCTCCTCCCTTCCAAGCATGATGTCCCTCTCCAAGGACATGATGTTCCTCCTTGCAACCTGTCCAAAGTATCTCAGATGAGGCCTCAGAATCCTTGCTTCCAAGGAGTAGCCGGCTTTCACCCTCTCCGTGACAAACCTGTTTGTTCTCCTAGCAGTCCATGGTATATTCAACACTCTTGTCCAGCACCACAGCTCAATGGTATCAGTTCTTCTATCATCCCTAGTCATCATCCAGCTTTCTGACACAAAGCAAGTAATTGCAAAGACCATGACCTGAATCAGGCACAGCTTAGTATGAAGATGGTGTTCAGCAAGTACACAGTGTACAGCTGGCCAACTGTGCAGTGCTTAATTCTAGAAACACTTATATTAGTATTCACTTAGACTGCAATGTGAGTGATGATGCCCTTTGATGTCATGCAGTGAATAGTCCTGTAGGTGGGTGGCCAAGGAGAACAGAAGTCCCCTAGGAATAGTTACCCTTGGAAGCTGGGAACTTTGCCCGACTTGCAAAAAAATAATCCTTCTGCTCACTCTTTTCCTGTCATCATAGATATGCAACTGATGAAGAAAATCTTAGGAAATAACGCTCAGACCTTGCCTCTCACCACCCCGTACTTCTTGGCTGCATGCCTCACTAATTCCTCTTCTTCACCCAAGCAGCTGCTGTCTGGTCAATGGAGGGATTAGCACCTCAGTTGCCAGCAGTCTCCCTCCAGACAACAGAGTTCAGTCAGAGATGGGAAGATGGCGCCAAGGAGGGCGGCTGAGGATGCAACAGGCCAGCAGGGTCTGGAAAACAGTTCTCTTAGGGGCCTGGTGGTGCAACGGCTAATTACTCAGCCGCTAGACAAAGATTTGCCATTTGATCACACTCAGGAGCTGCTGGGGATCTGCTTCTGTGAAGATGATGGCCTATGAAACCCTCTAAACAGTTCTACTCCATCTCACAGGGTCACTAAGAGTTGGCACCAACTCAGTGGCACCCAGCAAAAGGGGGATGATGTGTTGATTCAGATCATTGAAAATGTCAGAGAGAAAGCAATGCCAGCGAGGACAGAGGTCAGGACATGTAAAGTGACCACTAGGTGCTGTCACCACCCTGCTGAGTTGCTACCTCCTCTCAATCAAGGAATGACCAGCTGTTGTAGTGTTGTGGCTGGCAGCACTGAACTGAGAGTTTCTAAAACAGAGATTCCAGGAGACTTTCATGTAGTTCTCCTTCAGTTGTTGTTGTTATGTGCCGTCAAGTCGCTTGCGACTCATAGCGACCCTATGTACAACAGCCCTAAACCCTGCTCTGTCCTGTGCCAATCGCACTGCCTCTGACACACCCATCCCGATTACCCCAGTCACTGACTCAATCCACCTCGTTGAGGGTCTTCCCCTCCTGCGCCATCCCTCCACCCTCCCAAGATGATGTCCCTCTCCAAGGACGTGTCCCTCCTTACAACATGTCCAAAGTATGTCAAACGAAGTCCCAGAATCCTTGCCTCAGGAATAACCCCCTCTCAACACTCCCTGGGAGGAATAACAGTTAACAGGCTATGCTGCTAATCCATAGGCTGAAGGTTTAGATCCACCCACATACACCTTGGAAGAAAGGCCTGGCTGGTAATCTACTTTTGAAAAATTAGCCATTGAAACTCTTTGGAATACAGTTCTACTGTCACACACAAGGGGTGACCATGAGTCAGAATCAGTTTGACATCAACTAGTTTGGTTTTATTCCAGATTGGGTGTGCACGCGCACGTGTGTGTGTGAGAGAGAGAGAGAGAGAAGATGAACCACAGATAAAGCAAGTTTCTTCCTGAGGAATTACAATAGGAAAAAATTGACATTCTATTTAAGAAACAAGCTAATAAGCTTTGCTGCAATCTCGAAGGCACGTGGTTCAAGGCTACCAGCAGCTTCAAAGAAAGATGGTCAATCTCCTTCCATGCTATTAACTGCCTCTGAAAACCCGCCAGAGGGTCAGCTATGGGTCGGTTCCGACTCAACGGCACCTAACAACACAACAACAATAATAAAATTGTCTCAAACGAGCAAAGCACCCGGGTCTCACCCACCAAATGATAAGCTTTTCCAAAGTGTTTGGAGTTCCATCTCGCTGACTCCACTGCTGCCTGTCCCAGCAGAACTCCAGTACGCAGAAGGCGCTCAGTTTCTAAGTGTTGAGCTAAAACCAAGGAGCTGGAACAAGGCAAACCCAGCAGGATCCTTCTGCCAGCAGCATCACGTCACACTTGCTGTGCCCGGTGTGATAGGAGGACGAGAATGTCTACAGAACTCCTCCCAAAGCGGAAGTGACGTTGAACATCCAAGTCACCCGAATGCTTCTAAAGGTTCTGTGAAAGGCGGAGCCTGCCACTTCCC